GCGTCGGTCACCTTTTTGGCGGCCGCCACCGGCACGCTCAGCCAGAGTGAGCCATCTCCCCTCGGGCCGACGGTGAGCCTGCCCGATCTAATAGTGTCGGCCGCGCAGCCCCCCTCTCTGGCCACAGAATCTACGACCTCGGCCGCGGTGACAGAGTCGTCGAGGCCGGTGATACGCACTTCGGCGCATTTCACCGGCCGGGCGACCCTGACCACCTCCGGGCCGAGCACCTCTCTGAGCCTAGCGGCCAGAGAGTCGGCCTTTTCCGGGGCTGCCTCGCCCCCCACCTCTAACATTCGGGCGCCCGTGGCCGCCCTGCGGAACTTGACATCGGCGATGCCAAGTTCCGCCAGGTTTATGCGGTTCCTCGCCTCAGCTAGGACCGCGGCGTACGTAGCTCCACCCTCCTCTGCCCCCGGAGCGAGAGTGAGCGTGACCGCCGCGGTCTTAGGGACCCGCAGTTTGGCCTTCTTTTCGGGGAGGCGAGTCTTTTCCGCCCCCATTGACGCCTTCTTGACCGCTTTCCTGGCCCCGCGTGCCACTACCGTGGTCCACGGGGCTTCGGCAGGCGTAGGGGCAGGCCTGTCCCTTGCCTGTGCGGCCTCTTTAGCAGCCAGGCTCGGCTGCTTCTTCTTCTTTTTGCTCTTTTTCTTTTTGGGCGGAGCCTCGCCTGGGGTCGCCGCCGAAGTAGACGCCCGATCCTGGGCCCCGCTGCCCGATGTTGTGGGCAGGGGCTCTTCGGCTGGTCCCTTCTTCTTCTTCGCCCCCTTTTTCGCCTTGGGGGGCGAAGCGGGGGGGCCGACGTCTTCCGCTCTCCTGTCCGCCGCCAGCGGGGGCCGTCGCCGCGGTTCGGGGAGGAGACGGTCCTCTAGACCTGCCAGCCTGGCGTTGAGTATGGTGCCAAACGTTTCCACGTTGGCACGCGATACTTCATCCAGCAGCTGCCGGATGTCTGCTTCGCCAGGCTGGGCAGGTCGACGTTTGTCGAGATCTTTGATCTCGCGTCGTAACTCCTCCATGTCCCTTTGGAGGCGCGCGTTGGCTGATTCCAGCCGCGCCACCTCCTCGGACATGGTCCTTTCTCTAAGCTGGGAGACGGCGGCCTTGATGTTTGCCGCCGCCTCCTTCAGCGCTTTCACCAATGTCCCTTTGATGTTGGTGGACTTGGTTGCTACCTCCAGTATCGTCCTCAGTGATGCCTCAACGCATTGGTTGAGGGCAACACTGGTCTGGTCCTCCTCTAGTTCCGCCAGCGAGAGATGGGCCGGGCCAGATGGTATAGAGGCCCGTGCCTCTCTCGCTGTGCGCAACGACGCGGCCACCTCAGCATCGGCTAACTCTACGTTGAGGGGCCGGCCCCGTCCTCGTTTCGATTTGTGGGCTGCCCCCTTGGCGGGAGCAGCGCCACTTGTCTCCTCCGGGTCAGAAGAGCCCCTTCCTCTTTTAAGGAAGGCCCTTCTGGTGGACTCTCCGGACACCACCGACATGTAGCTGGCGGCCGAAGAGTCCGAGTCACAGTCTGTGTTTGGCACTGTAGCGCCACCGTCAAGTCCGATTGAGTCACAACGCGTCAGCATGACCCTCAGCGTGCGCCCGTTTTCCGCGAAGGACTCAAGCCACTGACCTCTCCCGCTCTGGGTCGGTGTGGTCGAGCCCCCGCTTCCCTCCTCCGTCAAAACTGTATCCCGTTCGCTTGCTTCAATATCCATGTCCGTTGCCAAAGTCGTCGTGTATCCATAGCATTCTTTGCCCCCCCCAGAATACGAGGGGCAGCCCGCGGCCGAGGCCGCGGGGAGGGATTCTCCTCCAGCAATGCTGGAGGTACCCTCCTGGGGTATGTCCGTTTTTAAGTTTGCCATTTCATACTGTTCCGGTGTTGTCGGACACCGGAAACCGCCTTTTCGATCCAGGGTGAGGTCCCCTAACCAGGACGCGCGGCCTACTGGCCGCCATCCTCCGGCCCCTAAGGGTCCACTGGTGTTTCCCGCGGGCCTGTCCGGTATGGGAGGCCCTATCCGGCATAGCCCCGCGGAAAACACCCCTCCACTCCGCACGGCGGCACCTAGGTGCGCACCGCGCCCTGCACCGCCCAATGGGCGTGCCTGGGCCCCGACCAGGTCCTGCGCTAGGCGCAGGACCTGGTAAGGACCCCATAGTGTCCGCGGGCCTGCCCGGTATGGGAAGCCCTATCCGGTATAGCCCCGCGAACACTATCCCCTCCCGGCCGGTTGTTAGCCTCCCCACAGAAGGTGGGGAGTTTCCAGGGTGCACCACGAGGAGGTCACCGGCCACCGCACCCCACCGCACCCCAACCTAACCTAACCTAACCTGGGGTGCGAGGGCCGGAAACCTCCACGATGGGTCGCCGCTTGGATTGCTCTGGGACAAGTCCCGGGGGAATGGAAGCGGTTGACCTGGTGCACCCTGGACGGCGGCAGATGGGTTCCTTATTCTCTACGGAGGAAGGGAAGTCATCTGTCGCTGACCAATATCCGGCCAGCTGACCCGTGTGAGGGGTCGTGGGATGGCGGACCTTCAAGGTCCGCGGCGCGGAGCTCTTTGAGCACCACGCGGGTTGCCGGTTCTGCCCAGTACACAGTCTGGCTCTGTTTTCAGAGTCGACTTGTGAGCTGGTGCAGACCGTCGTCGTCGCCGGCTATGTCGGCAGGGGGACGTCATACGTGCGATGGTCGGCAGCGAGCAGAGCTGGGCCGCCGTCGCCTCCTTCGCACGCGAGGTGATGGCGGCCAAAAGAGAGGCCCTGCGGGAGCGCGAACGCGCCAACGAGACGCTGCCGCCCCGCAGGGCTCCAGCGAGGGGCCGCCGGCGTGCGAGGTACGCGGCGGCCCTACAACCAAATTGAAGAGTGCCACGCGCGACGGGTCGGGGGACTTGTCGCGCCGATTGTGGCGGATGGCCCTCCTCTCGTGTTCTGAGGAGGGTTTCATCATAGGGTGATGGGAGGGGTCTAAGATATGACCCCTCCCTACACGAGTCGAGCCCCTACCAAGGGGCTCCCTCCTAGCCGGGCCGTGGATAAACTAACGTAGATGCCACGGTCCGGTTGGGCGTAGGAGAACACCGCGGGGTTTAGTGGGTAGTCCGGTCTTGTTCCCAGGCCGGGAGTCCCACACGAAACCGTCCCTGCTGCCCCCGCAGCACGGACGGCGAAGTGCATAAACGCATTCCCCGCGTTAACAAAAAAAAAAAAAACCTAATGCATAAGCAGCCGCCCTGTATGAGGTGAAAAGAGGTTTGTCCCGGCGGGTGGTAGGGGATCGAGAAATAGAAGGGAGGACGTCCTGGAGAGACATGGCGCACCCAGCGGACGGGACGGAGCTGGAGTTCGTCTGCCTGGAAAACGGTGCAATGCCGTCAGAAAATGGTGTTAACATTTTCACGGATGGGAGTAAGCTGGAGGGTAAGGTTGGAGCCGCGCTGTCCGTATGGCACGGTGATGCGGAAACCAAAAACCCGAAAGCTGAAACTGGAGAACTATTGCACCGTTTTTCAGGCGGAACTACTGGCTCTCAACGAAGCAGTCAAATGCGCACGAAGATCCCCAGAATGTTGCCACAACATCCTGTCGGACTCCCGATCGGCATTACAGTTGGTTACAAATCCTGACGCGAATCACCCCCTGGCAGTACAAATTAGGAAGAATATAAAAGAAATCGTGGAACAAGGCAGAAAAGTAAATTTATATTGAAGATTAGAGCGCATGTTGGAACAGTCGGTAACGAAAGGGCAGATGAATTGGCTAAAGAGCCTGCATTAAAAAAAAAAAAAAAAACCAGAGGCCGGAACCCACGTAGCGGAACGACAATGAGGAGCTTGTCCGGACCATTCTGTGCCAGGTGGGGACGATGGTCAATGCGAAATTCGAGGCACTAGAGGACAGGCTCCTCCCGGAAAAACGCATCCGCCCCCCGCTTGCGGCGGATAGCAGGCCCGAGTTGGCGGGCCGCCGTGTACCGGAAACTGTTGGTAGTCGGGAAAAGAGTGGACAAGCTCCGACCAAGCCCTCGGCCAAGGTCACGGGCAAAGCTCCGAGAAAGCCCACAGTGGGCAGGAAGGCATTGCCTCAGCAAGCGGCGGTAGAACCCATGGTGCAGCAACAGCCCAATGAACTGCCATGGAACGTAGTTGTGAGGAGAGGGCAAAGGGGAAAGAAAAAGGCGGACCGAGGTCGGGCCGTTACCAACACCGAGAGGAGGAGAGCGCCCAGGACGTCCACAGTCCGAGAGCCAAAAACCGCTGAGGCCAAGGCGAAGATCAGGTTGCAGGATGTCGGCATCACCACCTGGGTGCGTTTCCGGATGTGTGCCACAGGGGCTCGGAGATTTGAGGTGATAGGTGAGGAAAACGGGCCTCAGGCTGACGCGCTAGCGGCGAAGCTGAACCAAATCAAAAAAAAAAAAAAATT